TAAAGAAATGGGCAAGCAATTAGAATTATATTTAAAGACAGTAGATAAACATATTCTCAATAGAAAAGATAAATCTGTTAGTGGAGAAAAAATGAAATCAAAGAAGATTTGTCAAAAGTTGGTCTTATAACAGAACTGGATGATCTTCAAAGAAAACAAGAAGAAATCACTAAACTATATATAAAATTGGATGCAATTAATGTAATTAAAATGAAGATTAATAACTACACTCAACCCGAAATAGTGAATGGTTATTAATATTGATTATAGAAAATATCTGGAAAATTGATTACTATTAAAGAGTGAAGTACGTATCTATTGATTTTTATTAAATGTGATCTTTTTGGGTTAGTTTATTTGTCTATATGTTGTAAGGTCGATTGAAAATTTTTTTTATTAAATATTATAAGATAAATGTATTCGAATTCTTTAAATGTATTTAGAATCAACTTATTTGTTTGTGCTTATAGTACTTTATTATAAAGTCTTCAAGTGAACTTTTTTCTTAACTGAATTCGTAAGACTATATTGTTTTCCACTTCAACTCGAGCCCAATTAGTTACTGATTAAATTAACATTAAACTTGCATTAAATGACAAAATTCTGTTACAATTTGACAATAAAAAAGGTTTACTCAATAAATATAGTATATAATTGTATAACCGCATACAAAAAAATCTTTAATATGGCCAATCAAATATCAATAACAGTTATAATTAAAACCGAGCCATTTTTTTATAAAAAGCAAGAATAGCTTAAATTTAATTAGGAAACTATCTTCTACGACCTAATTAAAATTGTTCCTGCGAAATTTTATTAATAAACGCTACATCCTATTTTGTTCTATCCCTAACATAATGCGATTTTAATAGCTTTATTTTGAAACCAAATATATTTGTTTTGGCTGTTATGAGAATTGTGTTAATTTTGTTTGTAGTATATTTCTTCCTAGTATTTCTCCTTTTCCGGTAAGATCGAATACGTACAATGATTTCACCTTTTCCGAATATGTACAATGATTCGAACCACTGAGATCGAGTGAAATAGTGATGGCGCAAAAATTTGGCGGTCCCGTGATTTTTATTCAATCCGATTGTAAGATCAGTGTGTAAC